GGGCCCTGTGGCCCTGGAGGAGATCCAGAACTTCGGGGTGGAGGTTTCTCATTCCTACACGTGGTAGTCGACTGCGATGTCAAGGGGGGCTGCTCACAAAGCCACTCCACCACCACCACCACCTTCTCCTCCTCCCATTCCAATGCCTCCAATACTGCTTTCTAGCATCACTTGGAAAGGTCTTGGAGGTTGGTGAAACTCGCACCACCAGACTCTACTCATTCCTCGTCATGAAGCATCCACGCAATACCCCTCCATCGTCGGGAACCACTCCCCCACTCTCTCTGGATAGTCAACGTGGAAGTCTTGAGAAGGGGAAAGGGAGGCTCAGATATCACGACCATAACCCAGAAACAATAAGAAGAGCCGTCCATCTTCGCACCAACCCGTCCAGACCTTGCTCCTCCCTTTTCCCCTGTCGATCAAGCAAGGTAAATCCAGCCTTCTCCATTCACAGAAAGCTGAAGCAGTCTCGCCCACCATGGTCGGATCATCCCTCCTCCTACCTCTCCTCGCCGTCCTGGCCTCCATAGCCGGCGCGGTACCAGTAAATGAGCGCCGCTCCGTCCGCCCGACGTGCGGAAAGCCGGGCACGGTGGTGTCCACCACCCAAGTCACGATACCCACCTCTCAAGCGGCGACAGCAGCACCCACGAGTCCGCCCGCGGTGTCTCTTCCTTCACCCATCACCGTCTCCTCCTCCTTTGTCACTTCTCGTCTCGCCTCGTCGACTTCGGCGGGGGTACCTGGCGTTTCCTCGTCGTCGGTGAGAACGTCGGCGGCGGCCTCCTCAGCTTCTGCTGCGCCGTCTTCTCCATCAAGTGTGCGAGTGTCCAGTACGGGCACCGCCTCTCCGCCTGCCGCCGGCACAGGAACCCCGGCATCGGGATACAGGAATGTCTTGTACTTCACAAATTGGTACGTTAAATGAAAACCCCGGACCCCAGATGTCCTCCGTGTTAACTTCTGCTTCAGGGGCGTCTATGGGGCGAACTACCAGCCAGCAGACATTCCAGCAGACAAGGTGACGCACTTACTCTACTCCTTTGCGGATATCCAAACAGACGGCACGGTGTAAGTTGATCCCAAAATACAAAGGTAGAAAGTTTGCAAGAAGTAGGGAAGAGGCTGACGAAAAGAAATTCAGAGTCTCGTCAGACCCCTATTCAGACACGCAACGCCAGTACTCTGGCGACGACAACCAAGCAGGTAACGCCTACGGCTGCGTCAAGCAGCTCTACGCCCTCAAGAAGCAGAACCGCCAGCTCAAGCTCGTCCTCTCCATCGGCGGCTGGACCTGGTCCAGCAAGTTCCCCGCCGTGGCCGCCTCGGACACGGCTCGTAAGCAGTTTGCTTCCTCTGCCATCAAGCTCATGATTGACTGGGGATTCGATGGGTAAGAAGAACCACATACACGCAGAGACTCACATACACTTGTGCATGCCTTGCGCTAACAAGACCCCCCATTTCGCAGTCTCGATATTGACTGGGAATACCCAGCCAGCGACACGGAAGCCACAAACTTCGTCGCCCTCCTCAAGGAAGTTCGCTCTCAGCTCGACGCCTACGCCGCGGCCAACGCACCGGGCTATCATTTCGCCCTCACAATTGCCTGCCCCGCGGGTCCCTCGCACTACAAGCAGATGAACCTCCGCGGCATGGACCCCTACGTCGACGCCTGGCACCTCATGGCCTACGACTACGCCGGCTCCTGGGACACCACGACGGGCCACCAGGCCAATCTCTACCAGAACCCGTCCAACCCGACGGCGACAAAGTTCGACACCCAGACCGCGCTGGCGTACTACCTCTCCCAGGGCATCGCCTCCAACAAGGTCGTCCTCGGCCTGCCGCTGTACGGCCGCTCCTTTGAGAACACGGCCAACGGCGTCGGCTTGCCGTACTCGGGCGTCGGGACGGGCTCCATCGAGCCGGGCGTGTGGCACTACAAGGTCCTTCCCAAGGCCGGCGCCGTCGAGGTGTACGACTCGACGGCGGGTGCACTGTACAGCTACGACAGTTCCACAAAGGAGCTCATCAGCTACGACAACCCGGCGAGCGCGGGCGTCAAGGCCCAGTATCTACTCGACAATAAGCTCGGCGGCGCCGTCTTCTGGGAAGCCGCTGGTGACCGCAAGGGCGAGGGCAGCCTGGTGGGTGTGTTGGCGAGCAAGATGGGCAAGCTTGATTCGAACCAGAACTTGTTGAGCTACCCCAACAGTCAGTATGCCAACATTAAGAGCAACCTAGCGTGAAAGGGGGGCTTTGGCTGGCGCAAGTTATTTGTGCTTTCTTTCAATTTTGTTTTTGGGCAGGTCATTAGAGGCGTTGGTATGCGCTATGCTGCATTTCTTGACGGGATATGACTTGTAATGAAGTCTTGGGACACGGGCTTTTAGCGATGCATATGAGATACGGCCGAATGAAGCCAATGAATTAGACGGCAGCATTCAAGTTTCGCCGAGTTACCAGAGAGTACTTTGCTTGTAATGATTGGTCCAACAGTCAGTGGACTATTCTGTATTGGAGACTGGCCAAAGTCACCGTCGAGTAGCCACAGCATTCACGTAGAAACCAACCTACCTCTAGATCAGTTCAGCTCCCTCAAGAACATGGGCGACAGCTGGGTTGCTGAAACTAGTCAAGAACTTAGTGGGACTTTTGTGATGCAGCTCAACGGGCGCACAAAAGAAGAAACAACAGCGGAAGTATGCCGAACGGTCGAGCACTACGGAACGGGAGAGTATTGTCATCGGACCCGAACGCTCTATCCACAACTGCCGACAGCCCTGGCTCAAGGCTCCAGTGCAAAGGTCGAGTGGACTACCAACGCCGTACGTTTTACGACGACTGCATGGCGATCGCCCGCGAGGAGCTTCCAGGGGCTTGGCTCAGCGCTTCGGCAGGAGCCGAGGACTGTATGAGTTTAGTGCTGACGGGAGGGGGCGAATAATCGGTGATTTGGGACTCGACCGGGTCGCTGTAAAGGGGTTAGTTGGGCCCCAAGGACCGCCCACTGGCTCGATCCAATGGCCTAGACTTTGTTCTTGGTTCTCCATTCGAGCCTTGTAGGGTGCGGTGGGAGTTTGAATAGACTTCTGTGCTCAGTTAGATTGTCGAACCGAATTACTGGCCTTGTCGTCCAACCAATTGTCAAGGTCTTGGTCCAACGTGAGGTTCCCAAAGGAAAGGCTCGTCCCACCGAGCAAAGGCTCCAAGTGGAAGCGACCCCTCACCGATGGAGGCCGGGGAGGCTGCCGAGGCTGGCCGATAGATGGGCCGTTAATCCCAGAACAGTCTGTGGGAAACTGCCGACCTGGAGATGGGATGACGATGTTGATGGGTGGCCGTCGTCACGATGGAACTCGACTTCAGATGGTTTTGCGTTCTTCGGCGATGAGTCGCTGACAAATCGAGGAAGAGAGGGTAAATTGGATGTCGGAATACGACTGGTACTCGGCGATAGAGTCTCAGGTTCTCCTAATGGTAACGGTCCATGGAGTGATTATAGGTTGGGCACATGTGCCGTTTCGTCGACTAGATGAGTCACACGGCCAGCGACCGAGAAAAGGCGCACAAGAGTAGCAATGGCACCCTTGTCGGCGTATGAAGAGGGGGAATTGGCGGTTGCGGAGGCAGCGGAGCACCCGAGAAGATCGGCAGAGGAGTTGGTTATCATGTTTAGGCTACCGTGTATTCGTATGTGCTTGAATGCCTGTGTAACTGGTGCAGGTCAGACTAGCTGCTGGGCATAAGCATTCGACATGAAGTTGAGGTTGTCTGGTTTATTGGTGTTGGTCGAACACCCAGAGCAGCAGCCAATATTGGATCGGAGCGATAAGCCTGGGGAATTGGGGGGACTTGAGGTTGACGTCAAATGGAAAGGATTCCTATTGGAGGGTTACATTGCTATACGGGCTATTCATCAAGTGGGGTGTTCTTTCTTTGACTCCAAGCCTCCAAGCCACCCCGCTTTCGTCATCAGCTCAGCTGGCGGACCGTGAGCCATGTATCCGTACCTTACCTTTCCGTGCCTGTATTTTTCTCCGCCAGTTCCAGCTCTTGATTGAGCGCAATATTGCAATATTTTGGCCCAGGCTTGCTTCATCTTTTGTGCGCGGGGTGATGGAGACAATGATGTTGCTTAGTGACTGTCCATCTCTTCATGACTCGAACCTTTTGCAGATAACCTACCTACAGTAAGGTCAGTACTGCGTAAGTACCTAATGTCTTGTCCCATATCTCTTGCGTGTAAGCCGTTTATACGCAACAAGAATAAGACCGATGATGATCCGGCCGACGTCCAGGTCACTGGGCCGTGGTAAGCCGGTTAGAAACATCGTGCATGACCTTGCACTATTCCGCATACCCCATAAGCTTTCGCAGAATGACTCTTGCGCTGTACTGAATCTCTAACATGGCAACGTCAACCAAGGTTTCCAGACCAAGGACTGGATGGTCGTCGCTGACAGCGGTCCACTCTTAATTCCGTTAAGTCCGTCGCAGGTCCAGAATGCGGTTTTGAGCCGCTAGCACTCAAAGTTATTCAGGGTTCCATCCCAGCCAAGAAGTTGCTGGAGACTTCCGACACCAAGCTTGGGGACTGGGTTTATCTTTTACATTGGTGCTGAAGTGCGCTTCGGGTTCCCTATCTGCTTATGGAGTATCGTACCCATATGCAGGCATACAATGCAGCTCGGATAGAAGCATGTAAGAGACATGTTCCTAACGTCTTTAGACCTAGAACGTGTGGGCAGCAGGGAGGGGTATGAACGCTACCCGAATTATCCATCGCCCAATCTTTTGGGGTGAGCGTGTATCCGAATAAACTATGAGATATGCGAGTGTCGGCAACCCACCACTACTCGAGAGTTCAGGACTCGCCAGGTGTGCTATGCCACCCTTGTCTGCGTTGCATCTTAGCGCCATCTGGACAGGGTTAGCTGTGAGTAGGCATCAATACACGCGTATGTAAGCCGTCCTGATCAGCAGAACCTCCAATGCGGCTACATTGCGGGACGAGAGGAGGGGAGCAGGTAGGAAGTGGAAGGAAAGAGGAGGGAGACGAAGGAACATTGAGGTGGTGGCGGGTCTCTCTCAGGTCTTCCCCTTCACCCCCTTACGTACCTATCCACCCCTGCCTGTCGTTCGCTGATCATGCTGATGGCGGCCTGCGGGTGCTGTTCATGATTTTGTCGAATCTTTCGACTGCGATAGTATCCGTAGCAATCTCAACTCTTCCCCTCCATCCTCTCTCTTGCCTGACCTTTGCTCACCCACCCCGCAAGTCGCGCAGCTGCTGCAGACGTTACACGACAATCTCTCGACTTGGACTTTTCTCAATTCGTGGCTTGGTCATTATTCCATTTTCTTCCTTCGCGCAGAGTCTAGTACAGGGCAAAAGTACCCCCAAAAGTGGTGAGTCTTGACTTGCTTGGGCAGTCAGGTTGTGTGGTCGCGGGCCACTCGAATCCTTCCTTTGCCCCAACCCGAACCACCAAAAGCTGACGCCGCCGCCAAAGACGCGATCGCAACCTTCCGACACCTCGCCTTTCTTTCGCCATCTTTTCGTTGCGCTGACTTGCGCTACCGCTTTCCGACACTTGCCACAAACACCTGCGGCATATCGAGCCTACCCTTGCATTGCGCCCGCATCCTAACTTTGGTGCCTCGACACCGACCCTATCTTGAGACCCCTGCGCATTGCGGAACCTCCCACCGACTACCATCTCCAATTGCTCCTTACCTTGTATCCGTACACGGGTCGACCGATCCGACCTACGATTGCCGTTGCCTGTCAGAACCTGTGGCAAGATTGCGCTTTTACTGTGGCGCCTTATCACACTGCGACATCGTCAGCAGCCTCGACGTCTAGCTGCCTTGCGCCCTTCGCTCTCTGCGAAGTAACGAGCTTCCCAAGCAGTCACTGACCTTTGAGGCGAAACCACGGTCATTGGTCTTATTCCAAGACTTCGGACTGTGACCAACGAAATTCGAGTAGCGCATCTTTGAAGGCCGGACGGTCACATTACTTGCGCTTCATACACTTGGCCGGGCCTTGCTGAAGTACTCGGCCACTACACCAACCTGCCGAGACCGCTCCTCCAGGGTTAGGCTGCCGACGGTCTGGCCGTTGTCAACGTTTCAGTGGCTAAATTTGTACACTCGTCCTGAGTGTCTGACAGCCAGCTTGTCGAGCCCTTTACTCTTGCCTCGCCGTATAAGGGATCTTTGTCGGCCAGTGCCATCACTGGTTCCGAAGCGAAGAGTATACACCTGCGTGTGTTGTGCTAGATAGGACATCGAGTCCGGAGCACGTTTTCATATCCGTGGAAGCCATCGCCAGAGGTCTTTTACGACGCATCTACCTGTTCCACGGATTCCATTGCCATCATGACTCCCACACCACCATCCACGACGCCCTCCTCGGGATCAGGTCGGTCACCCGAGGAGCAGTTTCGAGTCGTGAGGAAGAGGAATAGGGTACCTCTCAGCTGCTATCCGTGTCGGACTAGGAAGTGAGTGCCAGATAAATGCCCCATATCGACTCAACTCGCTAACTTGCTTCACAGATTGTGAGAAAAGATTCACGGCCCGTCACACCAACGCAAACTGACCGATTTGTAGGAAATGTGACAGAGGTCACCCGTGCAGTAATTGTGTAAAGCGTGAGGGTGGTGATGCGTCCTCATGTTCATACGCTACTCCTGCTACTCGTAAAAAGAACCAAAGTCAAGGCTCTTCGAGCCCCGATGACATGCAGAACCGTATTGACCGTTTAGAAGGCCTAGTTTTGTCTTTGATGCACGGAGGTGCTACTATTGACCCTTCTACCGCAGCAGCAGCGGCCGCCGTGACAGGCGCCTCGACAACCAAGTCGAATACTGACAGCACACCTACCTCGGCCAAAATCGATCCCGACGACGAGACACAAATGCGAGATGACGATGAAGACAGTGATCCTGATGGCGAGCTAGCGACATCTTTAGGCGTATTGAAGGTCGACTCAGATAAGGGCAAGTCAATGTACATTGGCCAGGAGCATTGGCATACGATATTGGCGGACATATCCGAAGTCAAGACATATTTTGCGAATCACAAGAAGGATTTGGAAAAGAGCTATGAAAAGGTCATGATGTCGAAACCGGCCAGCGCCAGAGAAGGACCTACGTTTTTGCTTGGAGCCGCGCCAGCTACCGAGATCGAACTGCGAGCGGAATTACCACCCAAATCGGCCGTCCTTGCGCTCTGTTCCAGATACTTCAACTCGATGGACAATGCGGTAAACATTATTCACGCGCCGACTTTCCAGCAACAACTTCGAGCCCACTGGCAAGATCCCTCAAAAACGCCCATCATGTGGCTTGGATTGCTCTATTCTATTTTGTGTCTCGCCATGCTGAGCTACCACAAGGTAGGGGACGAACCGCCGGAGTGGAAAGGGCGGACGCTGGACCTGGCCTCCGAATATCGACTACGCACCGTCCAGTGCCTCATTGCGGCTGATTACACCAAGCCGGTGGAATACACCGTGGAGACGATGCTTCTCTATGTGTTTGGAGAATACTCTTCGAGATGGGATGCTGATCTGGGGCTGTGGCTGATCGTGTCCTTGCTCACAAGAGTTGCCTTCAGGATGGGGTACCACCGCGACGCAAAGTGGTTCCCGACGATTACACCGTTTCAAGCAGTGAGTTGTAGTGCTCCAGATATATATCCCTGGGCAAGTCAGTGTTAACATGGTATTCTAGGAAATGAGGCGGCGTACGTGGGCACTGGTGAGGATGGCCGATGTGGTGTTCTCACACCAAGTTTCGCTGCCATCCATGATCTATGGTCATGATTGTGACACTCAGTTGCCGAACAACATCTTTGACGAGGAATTCGGTCCCAACACCAAAGTTTTGCCTCCTTCACGGCCGAAGACGGAACCCACCCCTATTGCGTACATGATTGCCAAATCCAAGCTATGCAACGAGATGGGTGACATTTTGCAGGCCACCAATCGTGTGGGCAGGCAACTACCGTACGACGAAATTCTGCGGTTCGATGCCCGGCTTCGAGAGATCAACGACGAGATCCCGCCTCATCTCAAGGTTGCAGCCTTGGAGGGTTCGCACGACCCAGTCACTTTGATCATCGCGAGGTTCAACATCAACGTGCTCTACCTCAAGATCCTCTGTCTGTTGCACAAGAAGTACGTGCCGCGAGCTCGTACAAATCCACGATATGCCTACTCGCGCAGAAGTGCAGTAGAAGCGGCTCTAGAGACGTTGCGGCATTTGGTTACCCTCGACAGAGAATCACAGCCTAGTGGCAGACTTCGATCTTTGAGGTGGTTCGTGAACTCGATAGCAACCAAGGACTTCCTTCTGCCTGCCATGCTGGTTGCGCTTGACCTCCACCACGACCGAGTTGCGGAAACGAGCGATGACCGCAGGGCGTCAGAGTCGGCCATGTTCTGGACCCCAGAGCAGCGGATGGAGATGCTGAGCAACTTGGAGCGGACCAAGGAGATCTGGCAAGGGCTTGCAGACGGGTCGATGGAAGCCTTCAAGGCATCCAAAGTCTTGGACATTATTCTGGAGAAGATCAAGGGCCCCAATCCTGAAGCCGAGGTCTTCAAGAACGAAAGCTTCCCGGGTTTTGAGACAAACCCGGAAATGCAATCGGACCACAATGCGGCAATGACTCTGGGTATGCTCTCTGGTGGCATGACGCCAAACACGGCAGCCGCGCTCGAAAGCAGTATGCAAAGTACGAACTCGTTTAGCGGCATGGACTTTGGAGTGTCGTTGCCCATGACGGGCCCAGGCATGACGCCAAACTTCCAGGGCGACATTGGCATGAACAACGCGGGGTCTCCGTTCTCGATGTTTACAAACTTCGAGTCTGGCGGAGATTTCCCCGCCAACTTCGACTGGGTATGTTGCGATTCCGCCAATGGCATAATGACATGGTGACTGACAATGGGCTAGAACGCATTTGAGACGTACACGCAGAACGCGAACTGGGCAGCTGATACAGGGTTTGGGCAGATCTATCCAGGTCAATCCTCGCCAGAAACAGACGGCAACGGGATGCCGTTTGGCAACGCCAATGGCGGCATGGCAGGCTAAGGATGCGTTAAAGGCCCGAAGCGCGGGGAGAGCAGTGCAATGGATGAGGGAGGTAATGTGACGATGAGATCAATGACAGAATCAGGAAGGCCTGAGCGATTGGTTCGTTCAGGTGGACAAAATGGGGAACTAGGCATACTCACCTCCGCGTTAGGCTCGGCGTGGTAGGATAGAAAGACGAATCCAGATTTTTAGGACATTTGGAAAATACAATACCCTGCTCCCTTTTTTTACACGTGCTTCTTCTTCTACCTCTACCAAGTTACACGTGCCAGAGAGATGGGAGTGGTAAATCGTGGAAACTCCGCCTTGAGGTGACATTGGATGAACCGCGAGTGTGGTGGTTGGCCACATGGACGGGATGACAGGTCCCAAAGCGGGCGTGGGGAGGTGGCCGTCCGGCGTGGCATTCGGCGCCCATGCCGGCGGTATGCACAGGATTCGGTCCGTCCCTGACACCATGTGCGACGGCTGAGGTGGGCGGGCGGAGGTTTGGCGGAGGTGATGGTAGTGTTTGGTGGTGAGTGAGCGAGTGATGTTCTGCAGATGCCAGCAGCAACTCTCTTTCTTCCTAGGTTAGGTTTTCCCCGCGCCGTGTGCCTTGCGTCAGGCCCAAAACGTCAAAGTGAAATGTGAATCCTGTGCCTGCAGCGTGGTGAGGAGGGAACAATGCGGGGAGAGGGGATCTTGGCTTGCGCGTATTGGTGGGGGTATAGGCAGGAACAGGAACAGGAAGTTGGGAACACTCGCGCGGCGTTAGGAACATGGCATGCCGCATGCCGCACCACGACCACGACCACGACCACGACCACGGGATCTTTGAGTCGTTGGTTGATGGTTCCCTCCCCTTCAAGCACCCGTGGACGCGGCGATGCGCGAGCACTGTCCACTTGACGTTGCCGAGTCATGTCGCCGGGCAGGTAATCTGTCCAATGCGTCCAGTACCTATTACTTTTTTATCTGTAATTAATAAAAAGCATGGACGAGTGATGGCTCGCTTTCTGATAGCTCTTGTTAGTTGCCGGTACGCGCCGACGAAAGCGAGGTACGAATATTAGTGAACAATAGCGCACAGTAGGTACGAGAATACATCAAAGAGAGAGAGAGAGAGCAAAGTAAAGTTTGCTGTTTGGTATCAAGATCAGCAACAGCATCACTTATTCGGTCTTGGCAACGGCCCCCTAAGCTTTTCAAGTTTCCATCTCATTTCTCGGCCATTGCTTAACTTTTTTTTTTCTTCTCTCAACCACTCAAGGCAACCTCAACTCCGCCTTTTCTCCTGTTTCCCATCTCGGACCTCTGAACCCCCTCTCCCACCCTTCGCTTAAAGCCTTCACGACCACAACGAGCATAAAGAACAAGATCCTGGTGGTAGTCGTTGACTTGACCTTTTCGGACCTTGGCAACACCGATACATCACTTCGCCAGTCTCCAGGAAAGTCCCAACTACCCCGTTAGGTAGCGGCATCCCGGAGCGGTGAGTGATGGGATAACCCCGCTGATAGGGCCGATCGTGTCTACCTACCCCAGTTAATACGACCCCCCCTTTCACAGCCGCCTTCTTGAAGAAAAATCGAAAGAAGGAGGTGGGGGGGCGGGCGTCCGCTCAAGAAGTTCTCCACGGGACCTTGCCCTGTTGACCTTCTCCCGTCCCCGGCCCCGGGTCTGGGAAACTGCAACAACGAGAAAGGCAGAGGGAAGGGGAACTCGTATTCTTTCTCTTTCTTTTTCCTTTAGTTCAAAAGTCGAGTTGGTT